GACAGCAAGTGGATTTCTGAATGCTGCCTATCTGTAGGAGTAAGTTTGTTGTGGTTTGTTGTTTTTGATGATATTTTTAAGGAAAATAATATTATAGTGCCAGAGGAGCTCAGGAATTCCTCATGAATCTATAGACCAATAAAATAATTAAATAATCTGCTCCTGGTGTCTCTGAGCAATTAAAGGGTGCCAAAATATTTTATTTACCATTACACTTTGACAGACGCAATCATCAGCATATAGCTTTCTGTATATAAACTGGCATTGTGGTTTCGTTGGGAAGCAATAGATTTAAGTCAGTTTAGTGACTGTGCATTTACGGCCTCGATCATAAGTAATGAACTCAATCCACTTAAAATTTTACAACAGTAGTTTGCATATTCTCCTTAAGATGGTAGTTTTTCTACTTCTATAAAGTTGACTGTTATTGGGACACTTTTATTTAACTCATTAAAATTTCTTTAAGACATCAACTTTGGCAACGTTTATGCAGAAAGGATAGTAAGTGTATAAAATACATATACACTATAAGAAGTGTATAATTTTTTTCTGTTTCAAGATAATGGCTACTGTCATTTATTAATTACTACAATTTATTAGGTATAACATGTCAGGCACTGGGGGAGATGCTTTTAACACATGATCTCTACGTCTTACAACAAACCTTGAAGGTAGGTACTTTTTTTTTTTTTTTTTGAGACGGAGTTTCTCTCTGTCGCCCAGACTGGAGTGCAGTGGCGCCAGCTCGGCTCACTGCAACCTCCGCCACTGGGTTCAAGCGATTCTTCTGTCTCAGTCTCGAGTAGCTGGGACTACAGGCTCATACCACCAAGCCCGGCTCATTTTTGTATTTTTAGTAGAGACAGGTGATCCTGTCCGCCTCGGCCTCCCAAAGTACTGGGATTACAGGAGTGAGCCATTGCGTCGGGCTTAAGGTAGGTACTATTATACCCATTGTACAGAAGAGAAACAGAAGCCCACAGACTTTGCCCTCTGTGCCCCTCTGCTATTAAGAGGGTGAGTCTGCAGTATTTCCTTTCTCTATCCCCACCAGCCATGGGTCTCTATCAGGTTGTTTTTTTGTTTTTGTTTTGTTTTGTTTTTGTCACTTTTAACCACACTGTATTTCACATTTATAAAATATAATTTTTCTTTTTTAAGAAATCTATGTAACACATTGTTCATTCAGGCATTTCCGCAGAATTCCATGTGTCAGACATAATTAATACAATTGGGGAAATACTGAGTAAGCGTTTTCAGCCCACACTTTTGTTTGAACACAGTGCATTATGCCCACTCGATTTTAGTTTAATTCCCGTGTTGTTTTACATTTCTGTAAACTCTTTGAGGGAGTTTTGGGCGCCCACTGTCTAACTCAGAGTTCCAGGCTCAAGGTAGGCACTAATGAATGCTGAACGAATTGGGTAGCCAGTTAATTGCTTCCCCACCCCCACCAAAAAAGCGTAAACTACTTAAATTAACGTAATTGTGGATTTTTAAATAACACATTTAATGGAAGATCTCTGTCTCCAAAATGTGCCTCCTTGTAGCGATTGAGGGTGTGGGGTGGGGTGAGGGGTGACTAACCAGTCACCCTGAAATGGGCCCAACCTTAGCAATATTACCCATCTGCCTGGCACTCCCCTACACCTGAGCAGCTTTTTGGGTCCGCGAGAGAACCAGCGGGGTGGGGCACCCAATGCCAGGAGCGCGCGCGGAGAGCCACGTTGAAGTTCAGAGGAGAGTATTTACCAGCAAACAAAGGGCGGCGCGGTTCGGGGTCCTAGGACCAGCTGCAGCCGCCTCTAGAAAACGCAAGGGCCGCAGTGACAAGTGGACATTCCGCACGCGACCAGACGGACACTCGATCTGCACCTCCCCGCGGCCCCGCCCGCAGGCTCCAGCTGCCCGGCCCGCAGCCGCCCACTGGCTCCCGAGGCCGCTTCACCACGTGTCCTGCAGGCCGCTACCCCAAGAACTTTCCGTCCCTCTTGGGGTTGGGGACTGGCAGTGGGGAAGGGCGGGCAGGTGGGGGTCTCCAGGGAGCACCGTTACAGGACTTGGAGAGGGACCCTTTCCAAATGGAAGGTGGCCCGCTCCCAAGTCCATCCCAGATCCTTAGAGAAGCTCCGGGAGCGAGGGCCAGGCAGCAGCTCGGAGTCTGGCTGAGAGAGAGGAACAAAGGGAGCGAGCGAGCTGGGGAGGATGCTGCGCTTCCCTGCGCCCCACCCAGCCGGCTGCCAGGCGCTGCCAGGCGCGCAGGTAGCCCGGCCTTCGGCGCTGGCGGAGGGAGGTGTTGGAGAGGGTACATAAAGACTCACTTCCGCCGGGGCAGGCGCCCGGACTCCCTCCCCGCCGCCCACAGCCTGTGCGCATTCCTGCATCCCTGCCGCCGCCCGGGACCCGAGTGCCCCGGGGGTGTCCAGGCGCGGTGCCAGGCGGGTACTGTGCAGGTAACCCTCGGAAGAACTAGGGCTGGATGGAGGCGGCGGCCGGGGAGAAACACGCCTTTTTAGGCAGCCGTGCTGCCCCGCACCGCCCCACGCAGCCCAAGTCTGCAATCACTCTCCGCGAGAAGCAGGGATCCGCGCGCAGCCAGGGAGCGCCCCGCCTGCGCTCGCCGGCGGGCCGAGCTGCCGGGCCGGGGGCGCGGGGAGGGGGCAGCCCAACTTCCCAGTGCGCGGCTCCCGCCCGCTAGGTGAGCCTGGAGCTGGGAGGATGAAAGGGATGGCGAAGAGGGAGGGGGCTCTGGGGCGAGCGGAGGGGGCGAGCGGAGCTCGGGGGCGGGGCGCGGCGCAGCCTCGGTGCGGGGGTCGGGAGCCGCCGCCTCTCCCCGGGGCTCGGGGCCGCGGTTCCTCTAGCCGCGGGAGCCGCCGCCGCGTTGCCCGAAACAATGAGGCGTGCGGCGCGGGGCTGAGCGCAGCCCCCCGCCGGCTTTGAGGCCGAGCCACCCGCTGTGCCCTGCCGCCCGCGCTTGCAGCTGCCGCCGGCGTGGAGCAGCGCTGGCTCCGGAGAGGTGATCCCGCAGGCCGCCTGGGACCGGAGCGCGGGGCAGCTGGAAGACCCCGGAGTGGGAGGAGGAGGACTCGAGGACGACTCCAGCCGCACACTAGCCTTTTGCAGCCCCCAAGTTCGGCGGCGTGAGTCGGGAGCCCCCGGCTGGGGTCCCAGCTCTAGCGGGCGTCAGTGTGAGTGTGGGAGCGCGTGGCGCGCGCACCCGAGCGGCTGCTGGGGAATAAAATGTGACACGCACGCCTCGGACTCCAGTGCCGCGCGGCCAGGGGGAGCGCCGAGCACCACGGTGTCGTGCGCTTCGAGGCGCGGTTTAGGCAGAAGGCTGGTAAGAGAGGGCACTGGCTGAGGGTGGGCGACACCTTCCTCGGTGGCGCTGCAGCCTGCGCGCTGCTCTGCGCGGAGTTACACTCCCCGTTTAGGGGCCAGACCCGTGTGTGGGGAATATTGAAGGTGGTTTGGGGAGAAGCAGGAAATTCTGGAGAAGCGAACAGGAGGACGCCTTGCACTTTGGGGAAGGGCGGATCCAGTTGTGCCCCTGTGGCTCAGTAACGGTGATCTTTTATTTTTGGCTCTGGAAGGGAGTGAAGATTTTTGTCTTTCTTCAGCACAAAACTGCACTTCTTAAAGGTTAAAGTGTGTTCTGTTGATTTCTGGTTCTCTGTAGCTATAATGTTAGGGGTAGTAGGGATCTTTAGAATCCTAAATACCCGAGTGTTAATTCTTATGTAGTTGGCAGGCGGCAAACTCCGCTTTTGGGTTTACTTTCCGCGGTGTACAGAGTGGATATTTGATGCATTCTTTGGAGTAGGGAGTGTGACGTCCATCTCATTCGGATTTGCCGGTTCTGTGTTGGGGGACGGAACTCATGGCTCTCGCAAGTGCTGCCTTCCAAAGAGCTGAATAGCTGTGTTTGGAGAAGCTGTGCTTTCCAGGAATTTAAATGAGACTTTTTGTGATTGCCTTCCAGGTCTCTCCTCCTAGTACCATATTTGTTTTGTCAGGCTGAACTTTCGAAGCTGTTTTGTAATCTGAGAAGCACTTTTGGGGAGAAAGTAATGCTCGGCTGGATTTTTGTGAACGTATTGTTATTGGACATGCGAAAAATTTGGCGAGAGGCAAACCATATTTGGTTGAAATCATTGTCTTTTGCACCACTGCCCTTCTGACCATACAGGGACATGCTGGCCCTCCTCGCTGCGGACTGCTTGCTTGGGTGAGGGGATCTTTGGTGGACCGGCAGCACATTTTGTATTTAGAGAACTTTCTGCACACTTGAAAAACCGCATGCTGGTTACTTTGATGCTTCAATTTTTTGAAATTCTGATCAACATTTTTTGCCAACTTGAAATATAATTTATGACTAAGGAAGAATTCCAGTAAAGGGAAGTGCTCTCTCTCTCTCTATATATATATGATGTATATGTATATACATACACATAGGATGATATATACACACACACACACACACACACACGTATATATATCATCCTGTTGCTGCAAATTTAGGGTTAAACTTCTGAAAACTCTGAAAATTTAGGGTTAAAACTTCTTTTAAAAGGAAAAATGATGAGTGGGCTTGAACCAGTTTTTACCTACTCCCCTTCCCCCATTATTTTTCTGGAACTGACAACCAAAATTTTTATAGCACATGAGGAATTTTATACTAACGCATTAAAAGAAACTCTTGGCAAAGGTAAATGGATATTGTGCTCAAAACTGATGAAACCTTAAAATCATAGGTGAAGTGCCTTGAATTTTACTGCAAAGTTAAAAAGGTACTCAGACTTTTTGGAATTCTCTCTCCGATTGTTACTTCAATAGGTATAAATTATAGCATCTTACCTTTTTGCTTGATGCTGTGAAAGCTTCTGCAGTTTTGAGTTAAATCTCTTGTAGAGATTGTGATAGGAGTCACCGCTTTATATGGAGTACTGAGCCCCACAGTTCAGAGAGGTTTTGGATGGATACTCTTGGTAGTTGGAAACTCTTGGAAAGAGGTCAGAGCAAGGCCCAACATTTGTTGAGTTTGCTATGTGGTGCACACGATCTAGGAAGCAAGGATACAAAATTGAGGATATTTAGACTAGAGGATTCAAGGTTGAGACAATTTAACATTTGAAAATATGTGAATGATTTATTATGCAGCAGAGGGCAATTATCTGTGTTGAGTTTCTGATGAGGATAATTAAGAGGGAAAAGGTTTACTCTGTGGGGTGAAGACATAAGTTGAGTCTAGAGTGTTGTGGCCAATCCAGCCAGCAAAGATTGGTTAAACAGTGGAAGGACTGCTGAAAAAATTCCTGTACATGCTTATTTCTGGAGGTTCCATCCCCCAACCCCGAGCTTCTCCTCTTTCTGAGATGACTTAAGTATGTGAGGCTCTGTTCTATTGCTTATACTGATACTGATTGAAATTTTACCCTCCAGGTTTAGAATTTATCCAAGCATTTCTCAAGTGCTTAAATCTTTTCTGAAATGACAAACTCATTTCTAGGCTTCTGCCCCTCCTGCTTAGGTAAATAAATGATAGGTTCCTTTCCAAAAACTTGGAGATATTTGTCCTCTGGGAAGCTCTTAATTAATTTGCAGATTTGCTACCTCATTGGTGAGACTTTGAATAAAAATATCTTATGCATGGTAATAAGGACAGTCTTTGTTAATGCATTTGTTCTTTAAGAATATTGTGTTATTCCTGATCGATTGAGTTTTTTCTTCTCCTGGATTTTCTGTAATAAGATCTTAAAATTTAATTGCTTAAATTAAATTAAGTACTTAATTCAACATGCGTAAATATCTAAGGGAATTAGATAGTACCCTCATGGCAGGTGTATGTTAAGGTTTGATTTTCTAAGCATTGAAACCTGAAAGCCCATCCCTTTAAACAAATGGGATGAAATTCCCAAATGACTATAAAAGTAATAATTGCATATAATTATATAGTAATTTTGGAAAGTGGAAGGGAAACACAAGTGCGTATTTGCACAGAAATTTTCAATGTTCTTACACCAATTGTTGATGCCAGTGCCAAACACTGAATGGGCTGTGGATGACCAGCCACCGTTAGTCAATTACCACATTTTCAGTTTAATATGGCTACCATTTTCCCGAAAGCTCTCCTTCCAACTTTTGAGACATTTGTTTCTAAATGTTATCAAGTACACAGTGCAAAGATATCAGTGTTAGAGAAACACGGATTTATTATGCCCCTTCCAAAATTTGAAGTTTTCCCTTACTTGGTCCCAGCCACCTCCCACCCCTCCCATGGGATTGATAGGGGAATGGTTGCAATTCAGAATACTTAGAATCTACCTAGTCCACAGGTGAAATACATTTAAAGGGGATGAAGTATGACCTGGGCAGTCCTAAGGCTTTGCAGGAGTTGGTGATCTGGTCCAGCCCCAGCATTGGTCCTAGCCCTGGTAAAAGCAGGGTCCCAGCAGTTGTGGGACTATTATCTTCACTTGGCCACCTGCAGGTTCCTGATTATCCCACAGTACCCAGTGCCTACTGGTTGGTTGGGGGAATTGTTCTGTGCATGGAAATGACATCAGAGGCATGCTGCCTACTATGGGGGACTTCTATCTGGACAGAACTGTTTTGTGCCCTGCTGGCTTCTGCTGCCCTCTGTGGTCTTGTCTAGGGAAGAAGTCCAAATTGAAGGCAGGCGGTGGCTTCACAAAGCTAGAAGCATGTGAAGTCTAGTTTTGTAGTTTTGCACTGGACTTTCTTAGAGAGCTAAGGAAAGCTATTGGCCGGTGCTCCTGCAGTGACCGGCACTGGAGAAAGACAGCCTTATCAGAGCTCAGTTTCCAGGGCCGGAAACGGAAGGTTGACATGAAATCCTTTCCAACATGTCTTCTGGTGTGAGATTCCACAAAATTGATCATTGTAAGTTTTGGCATACTTAAAAGCTAATTCCTCTGCAGCCCCAGGACATAGGAGTAATTCAAAGAATAATAGTAGTAACTAATTTGCACTTATGAGGTACCACATCCTGCCATTTGCTTTGCACGGATTATCAAAGTGCACTTTAGCCACAATCCTGGGAGGTATCATTACGCCCATTTTACAGACGAGAAGACTGAATCTCAGAAAGGTCAAGTGCCTTGGCAGAGCTGGGATTTGAACCTGTGTCTCAGTGTCCAAAACCCATGCTGTTAGACTGAGATCCACTCAACAGAGGAAAACAAGAATGACAACTCCTGCCATTGTGTGGGGCCAGAGACCAACTATGACTGTAAGTTTCATGTCCTCAAACCAAGCTGAGCCTGCTGAATGGGGAAAATTGTATACAATGGAAGAGGATGTCAGGGAACCCATGTATACAGAAAGCATGTGTTCATCAGAACCTGGAAGCAGAAAAAGGTTTAAGCTGCAACTTAAAAATGGACTATGAAATGTGGAATATCCAGGCAGTCAATATCAGAATGAGATTTGGGCTGATATGAAGCATGTCATATCAAGTGAAATTTCCAAGGAAAAATTTAGGCTAAGATTCAAGAAAATGATCCATCTGCTTTGAGTTACTGGGTTGGTAAGGAGAGCAAGCTCAAAAAGTAGTCTCCTGGTGCATTTAGAAATACATTGGCTAAAGCATTAGAGAATACACTGTAAAGAAAAATTCTACAATGTCTTGATTATAAGCCCTTGTTTTCAGAAGTTTATAATTCACACATTAAATTCTACTCTGGGTTGCTTCTACTGTTTGAGCCCAAGAGAAAAATGCTTTATTAAATTTAAAACAATTGGTTTTTCATGTTCAAATTATACAAATATTTCAAGTAGAGGTTCTTGCATGTTGGTAATTGTGGTTTCTAAAATGACTTCTCTTTAAATTAAATATGGTAAAGAGTTGGTCTCTTAGATGATCCAATAGCTTTCATTATTCAGAAGTAAAACGTAAAAGTAGCTTCTTTGAAAGTGTAATGATGACTTTTCTGAAATGTAAGTATATTGCTATGTGTTAAAAACCCATAATTGTGCCACTGACCTCAAATGGGTAGAAAAAAGTACAGTTAATATAGGATTTGTTTTCTAAATGATAGAGCTAACCCAGTTACAAAATGGAACTGTACGTGTAGGATTAAATGAATGGATTTGTTTTTATTGTTAGAAGAGGGATCTTGCTATGTAAATCACATTTTAAAATTAGGGCAAGTGTACCCCATTGGAAATCTCTGTATGGGCCGTGTGCGGTGCCTATAATCTCAGCACTTTGGGAGGCTGCTGCAGGCGATTGCTTGAGCCCAGAAGTTTAACACTAGCCTGGGCAACATAGCAAGACCCCCATATCTACATAAAATTAAGAAAAAACTAGCTGCGTGTGGGGTCGTGCACCTGTAGTCCCAGCTACTCAGGAGGCTGAGTTGGGAGAATCACCTGAGCCCTGGAGTTTGAGGCTACAGTGAGCCAGGATCACTCCACTGCACTCCAGCCTGGGTGACAGAGTGACCCTATCTCAGAAAATAAAGAAATAACTAAAAGAAATTTTCATATTAAAAAAAGGATTGTCTTTAAAAAGAACATATGTGCACACATACACACACAGACACACTCACACGCTTGCGAGTAAGTACCAGAGGAATAAATTCCTGCATTATGTGTTGTTACATCAGCAATCAGGAGTGGGAACTTGAATTAAGATACTTGAGCATTAATTGTTGAGATTCATGGCTGTTGCCTAACAAAATCAGGACAAGAGCCTAGCGCTTCCAACTGAAGGAAGAATATTCTCTTTCCTATATAGCTTATCTCTGAGAAAATTTTATGTTCCAAATTATATGTGACTTGTGAGAAGCCAACCAAAATGTTTAAGGTTTAAACTTTCTCTTAGTTTGTTATAAACAGGATACATATGGAAAACATACTTTTACTTATGTATGTAAATATATGTGAGTGTGCATGTTTGTGTAAATGTTCTTTATGATGACAGCAGACATCATGCTCAACATGCAAGAACCTCTACTCCCTTGGTCCCTTTGGTGATATGCAGAATGCATTTGACTGTTGAGACGAACTTTTGACATTGGCTTCTCAGGCAGGTCCTTCCGGGAACCTGGCCCCAGGCTGATGACTGGAATCCTACATATTGGTTAGCTGTTCTCTGTGATGACAGAGACTGAACCACTTGAGATATTTTAGGTCAGCCAGAAGTTCACCAAATACTATAGGTGATTCAATCTTTTTTCTGGAGACCAGGAGACTATTTGGAATTGCCCTGAATTATAGTGCCTTTTAATCACTATAGACATAGGCAAAATAATTAAGACCGTAAGCCTAAGAGTTATTTTAAAAGAAAACTATATGCTCTAATTTCTAAGGTAAATTTAAAATAATTTATGAATAAATGGGAAATAGACAAGTGTAATATGGTTTTCTTTTAAAAGTATGCCAATATATGTATAGCTATGTATATAATTGGTCTATAATTTCTATTATATACATTAGATATGTATATAATTGGTCTATAATAGTATATTATTGGTCTATATGTATATATAGTAGTATATTATTGGTCTATATGTGTATATAATAGTATATAATTGGTCTATATGTATATATAATAGTATATAGTTGATCTATATGTATATATAATAGTATATAATTGGTCTATATGTATATATAATAGTATATAATTGGTCTATGTAATTGGTCTATATGTATAATGGTATATAATTGGTCTATATGTATATATGTAGGTCTATATGTATAATATAGTGTATATTATAGTTTATATATAGATTATTTATATATAGACTAATTATCTATATATAGTATATAACTGGTCTATATAATTGGTCTGTATGTATAATAGTATATAGTTGGTCTCTCTATATAATGGTATATGATTGGTCTATATAATAGTATATAAGTGGTCTGTAATGTATATAATTGAGCTACAATGTATAATTTCTATCATATACATTAGATATATATATAATTGGTCTATAATAGATATGCATATAATTGGTCTATGATTTCTGTTGTTTAAAGGGCAGCTTACCCCCTCTGAGTGACAGTGTCATTAGAAAACATTCTTCTGCCTGATGTTCAAAATTAGTAGCTGGGAGAGTTGAACTAATTAAGTAATTGGCCTGACTCAATACTTGATATGTTGGAATAACATTCATGGGGTGCCATTAATAGGTTATTTCATTAACTATTTGAGGTGGGAGAGTTTCCAGAGTTGACTTGATAGCAGTAAGAAAGTGTCTGAAAGATACGGCTTTAAAATAATGTGAATGCTTCCATAAGTTAAATCTAAACATTTGTTACTTGCTTCACTCTACACGTTGCCTCACAGAATTAAAACACGTCATGCTGTATTATCATCATATCCTAATAATACCCCACATATCACCACTGGATACATACACAGAAAAAGCAGGGTTAATTTTTTTTGTTTGGCATTTTTTTCAATATTGTCTCAGGACTGTTAAACACAGTATTAGTTGTAGAACCAGAAGTGGGTGTAAGAAAAGCTTTAGACTGTATAACACAAGTGCCTCTTAAGGGGTAATGGAAGGACTCCTGGCCTAAGGAACCTCGGTTGTTTCTAGATGGTGTGTATCTATCCCAATTATAATTTGGAAGCCCATGAGTATAATCAGGGGCATAATGTGCATGTTTTACAGGTAAAACTAAACAAACCCATGTTACTCTGTGTCGATCCCTATCTTTCAATTGCCCAAGTTAGGTCAATCTTGTTCTTACCACACTGTGTTGAAAATGAGAGGTGATTTCATAATGTAGAAATATAGTCTTCCCTCAGTATCCTTAGGAGATTGGTTCTAGTATTCTCCATGGATACCCTAATCCATGGATGCTCAAGTCCCTGATATAAAATGGCATAGTATCTTTGCATAACCTAGGCAGATTCTCCTGTATATTTTAAATCAGTTGTTTCTAGGTTACTTATAGTACCTAATACAATGTAAATTCTATCTAAACAGTTATGCTGTTTTTTGTTTTTTGTTTTATTTTTCTTTGAGGGACAGGAGTCTTACTGTTCTCTCCAGGCTGGTCTTGAACTCCTGGACTCAAGTGATCCTCCTACCTTGCTCTCCCAAAATGCTGGGATTACTGGCACATGCCACCATGCTCAGCCTGGTTTTTATCTTTTATAATCAGGATTTCACTCTGTAGCCTAGGCTGGAGAACAGTGGTGTGATCATGGCTCACCTCAGCCTCAACTTCTTGGGCTCAGACAATCCTCCCTGCTCAGCCTCCTGAATAACTGGGATTACAGGTGTGCACCACCACACCTGGTTACTTTTTAAAATTTTTTGGAGAGACGGGGTCGCACTCTGTTGCCCAGCCTGGTCTTGAACTTCTGGTCTATAACGATCCTCCCACCCCAACCCCCAAAGTGCTGGGACTACAGGCATGAGCCACTATGCCAGCCTATTTTTTTTGGTATTTTTATTGGTATTTTACTGTATTTTTATTGGTATTAATTTTATTGTCGTATTGTTATTTATTTATTTCTTTTTCCAGATATTTTTGAGTTGTAGTGGGTGGCATCTGTGGATGTGGAACCTGCGGATGCAGAGGGTTAACTGTGAGTGGCATACAGATTTGGTTTGGGAATTACTGTGTGCATTCAGCACCTAAGCAATAGCCACTGAATTTTCAGGGTGGTGGACACAACCTCCAGCCAGGCACCAAGATGCAGCCCCTCAGGTCCCTCCTGAACCCAGACAGTAAGACCTTGGTCACAAGGCTGTTCCTTAGAGCTGTTCCTCACTGAACTGAAAGGCATACCCACATTGATTGGTTTGTTTCTCCTTCAGTAACATTCAAGTCTGTGTGTGAGGAGAGGTTGTAGGGAACAGGATATAGGAAGGTGCTCATGCCTGTTTTTGTTTGTTTTATATATATATATGGTG